ACACCGCCCTCAGTCTCCTTTCTTGTTCATGTCCGTGCTCAGAGCATAGCATGCTGACTATAGCGGCTGTTTTTTGTTGTTTGTTTGTTTGTTTTTTGTTTTTATTTCTTTTTTAGCATTGATCTGAGCAGATGGGACACAGCTTTCGACATTACAGTTTCACTCAGATGTATCCAAATCCCCACTACCTGCATGATATCCCCAAAAGACAGAAGCTGATTAGAGGTCTCCAATTAAGCTGTCCCTACACTCCATCACCTCTTAGTCTGACCATCTCGGCCTGTCTCGCAGGTGGTCTGTGGGCCAAGCTATTCCCAGAGATCTACACTGTACCTCCCAATGCCTCCACCTGAACTCTCACAAAAATTAATATCCTGCATGGGGATTGCACCAAGACCAGACATTCTTCCCACTTTAGTATGTGTGCTAATGAAATTTGGAGAATTTAAAGCACCCTCAGGCCTGCAGTGGCAACCAGCAGCCCATGGAGAAGGTGTTCCTAGGCATCTGTTGGCTTAAAATGTCTGAGGGTCCTTTTTCAGAAGGGGCCTAAATGATGTCCATAAAAGGCTGCAAGCTCATAAAGTCCTGGCCCCAGCATTCCCCACTTAGTACATACCTATATTTCCCCCACCCCAACAGAAAGCACTAAAAGATTAGACCCAGGAATGTGTGTACCCTTCCCCCCTCTGATATCTAAACTGAGTGCCACAGCAAAAGCTAGGAGCTCTGACTTCTAAGAGGTGACAATTATTCAACCTGCACAGGCATGAAACCACTTCAGATTAGAAAACACTGCACCAGGCTGCATGGTGATGGAGGTTTGCGGTCTATCCACACACATGACCTGCTACTTGGCATTGACTAAATGAGTCACTTCTCCTAAATGTGTGTCCTTAATAGCAAAACAGCAATATAAACACACACCTCCTAGTAAGGGGAATTCCTTACAAAAGTTTCAGTGCTATTATGTATATGTATGTTCACAATAATAAGCATGACAAAAAACATTCCCTGGTCCCAGTTCTTCATAAACAGTTTCTGGAAGTAAAGCCCTGTTGGTTTACATGGTATAATTAAATAATAATAACAGTTATTCCTTCCTAAGCAGTTATAATAATAGATACATATGTACATAATCAAGTCTGGCAGAAGGTGGCAGACATTCCCAGCTAAGTGCATACAAACCAGGGTTTTGATAACTTAATAAAAGATTATGTTGTTTAAAGTGTTGATAGCAGATTTGGGGGAGGTAACTTTACCTGAATGAGAATATCAAGTAGTATTAGAAGTTAGAATAAAAGCATCGTGTTCTCTAGATGTTCAGAATCAATCAGAACATACTATGTCATGTGATGGACACATTTTTATTAAATCTGTACCTTGTGACTGACATGAGTTTACTTCACTATGTGGCCCCCCTTTTCCTTGTCCATGTGAGAAATGAGGATGATTCTCACACATTCAGGCTCAGGCAATGTAGCTGCTAAATTAAATCATGTGTCATATACATTTACACATCATACAAGTGCATCAAGGCTTTTAAATTCTACTTGTCCAGATGTGACTGCTTGGTTGTGGGGCCACCTGCCGCGTCCCCTTTGTGATCTGATCAGTCCAGGCGGCTCCAGTTTCTGCCTCTAACACCCTGTTGGGCAGTAATAAGATGTTAAAGGCAACAACAGAAGAGAAGCAGGGCTGTCAGCTTCAGAGAGGAAGAGGCTGAAGGGTACAAGGAGGAGGGGATAAGAAAGGGAGTTGAGGGGAGATCAAAGAAGGGCAAGAAGAAAGCCAAATTGCTGAGAGCAGAGATGTGAATCCAGGAGCTGGGGGTCCTAGGGAAGATCCCCCCAAAGCAATGAGATTCAAATTGGGCCCTATAGTGGCCAGGCCAGAGCTACTGAATTATTGAATGTCCCACGTGTAAAAAGCTAGGATAATGAAAAATGGTCCATATTCAGGTTAGGCAGAGCCCTTTAGAGGTAGTGCAGGAAAACTGAGCCGGTTTTCCCAGCACCTTACCTACCACTTTATTCCCCCATCCTGGAGAAAAGCTTTGTGTGTGTGTGACCAATTTCTGTAGGGGGCGTCGGTGGTGTCTTTTTTTTTTTTTTTTTTTTTTTTAGGGAAGGCGCGAGAGACTCAGAACGCACACAGAGAAAATGCTAATGTCGTTCAGCTCCGTTTCATTGTCAGGAGGGACACAGGAGGATAAAACGGAGCTCTCCAAACCGTCCTCCCAGCTCCCCTCCTCCCCTCCTCCATCCCTTCGGCTAGAGGTCTCCGTCGCTTTGTTCTAATTTCTCCCCATGCATAATTTATTCACGTGTGTATTGTTTCCCAATCAGCAACTTTTAAAAACAAATGAAATACATCAGATGTTTTATTAAACACGTTGTTTAAAAAAAAAAATAAAAGCAGATGGTGCGGCTCTCCCCATAACAACGCGGGTAGCTCCAGCACGGAGTTTTAACAGCGGTCCAGGGCGCAGGAGGCTCTGCTAGTCCTGGGTATTGTTTACACCCCCTCAGCCCCCACCCCCAGGGAAAGGAGAGATGGGATGCAAAAAAGGATCGTCTAATTATAAATGACCCCTCAACGCCCACCTAGAAAAAGCAGTCACGGGGCGTTGTGTATACGAGTGTGTGCGTGTGCGGCGACACGGAATTACACATACACCACACTGCGACTGTTTCTAATTATAAAAGTACAAGGATAATCATTTAGAACTAATTCCACTCAGCAGCCCCTTTCTCTTTCCCTTCCTGCTTTTCTAAACACACCCCACACAAGCACCCTCCTCACCAAACACGCTCCCTTCCCCAGTCCAACAAAACAAAACACACACACACACACACACACACACACACACACACACACCCCAAAACAAAACAAAAAGAAAACCTGGCGCGAGCACGGAAACCCTGGAGCGTAGAGCTATTGCACCCGCCTGCACGTAAGCGGACTCCAGGGTAACAAGGGTAACCGCTTTCCCAATAGGATACAGACCTGGCGCACATGCGAAATAGATTTCTCCAACTTGAGTTTACCAGGTGGCATCAGCGCGGCTGTGTGGTTCCGGCTGAAAATGGGGTAAGCTGCAAATCAGCTCTGGGCTGGGTGGCAACTCGCAGCATCCACGGCGTGGCAGCGCGAGCGACACGGAGCGAGGATGCGGCGAAGTTACGCCCATTTATTCTGCCATAAAACATTTTCCTTCCCGGGTGAGAAACGCCGCGGCGTTCCAGGGGCCCGAGCATCCCAGCTTCCCAGCGCGAACCAGAGCCTGGAGCTACTCTCAGATCAGGCTCAGCGACCCTTGCCCTCCAAACGCTCTCAGATCTGTTTAAAACTCCGGGACCTGGGGCATTCCTGTCTTTTTCCCTATTACTGATGGGAGATGAGCTAGTACCAACACGTCCCACCCTCACCGCGCGCTCCTCCGCGTACCCACCCGCCTGGTGCCCCCCGCTGCGAACCTGGTTTTCAACTCCAGGAGGAGCCCGGGGGGCGGGGAGGGGGAGACTGAGTTGAACCGGGGTGGGCATCCGCCACGCGCGAGACGCGCCACCGCCCCCCCCCCCGCCACCCGCGCCTCCCCTCCCTCCTCCGCTCGCCCGCGGCTCCTCGCGCAGCTGGGGAGTCCTGCTCCCCGCGGCGAGCACCCTGAGCACCCACGTCTCTCGGCCGCCCGGAGGGGATCTCCCCCTTCTTGCCAACGTCGCGGCCAACAGTTCCCCCTTTCGAGCGACGCTAGTTTCACAAGCCGCCCCCGGGCACCGCGATCGCGAGCGGACTTGGCGGCTTAACAGTTCCATCGACTGGAAGGAAGGAAGCCAGGATGCCAAGGAAGAGGAAGGCGGCCAGGAATTAGCTGTCGGACCCAGGCACTGGTCCCCGCGTGTCCTCTCGCCCAGCCCCCAACCCCCGCCCGCGCTCCGTCCCGGATCTGGGCGTCCGCTCAAAGTCTCCCAGCGGTGGCCACGGGCACCTGCCCCTCGCTCTGGCCGCGAGCAGACGCTGCCCGCTCAGCCAGTGAGCCCTGGGGCTGCCTCCGCGCCCGCCTCGGCGTTTCACCCACACCCGGCGAAAACACCATTCATAAGACCTGCAGCTTCCCAGCCTCCGAACAACCCCAAGTTAACCCGAGTCGTTAATTTACTACGCGGCCAGTTCGCCCACACACATACACACACACACACACACACACACACACACACACAAGCACGCACACACACGCGCACACACATACGCGCGCGCGCACAAACACACACACACACACACACACACACACACACACACTCGCGCACGACCGCCCGGAGCGCCGTCACGCTCCGGGTGCTGCCCCGGCAGGAGAGCCCCGGGCAACCACCTGGGCCCCAGGGCTCCCGGGACCCGCAGCTCCCTTCGGCGGTCCTCCCAACTCCGGAAGGTTTGCACAAACTCCCCGCGAGCGATCGGAAGAAGAGCGCCCTGCAAACTCCGGCGCTGCCGCGGTCCGCTCGCCGCCGCGGACCGAGCCGCCGGGCGGGCGGGGGCCGCAGGCTCGGGAGACGCGGGGCTCAGCCAAGTGCGCCCGGGCGGCCCCTGCCCGGCGCTCGCCACCCCGCTCGGTCCACCCCGCGCCGCGCTCGCCGCCCCGTGAGCCTGGGCTCTCGGGGGATCCGCGGGTCCCCGAGCTGCCCACGACCCCCCTATAGCTGCCGAGCGCTCCGCTGCCGAGCTCCGGCAGCCTGGAAGCCCTCTCTCCCAGACCGCCAATTAAGCAGAGCACAAATGTAACAATTTTCTTCTTGTTAATTGCATCTCCTGACATTTCTGCGCGTTGGGGGTAAAAAAAAAGAAGATGAAGAAGTAAGAGCTGAAAGAAAAGAGAGAAGCTCCGCCGCCGCTGCAGGCGCCTGCAAGCGCAGTGCATTGGCAGCGCTCCGCACGCAGAAGGCGCCTTTTTTTTCATATTGAAACCACGCGGAATATGTACATTTTTTAGTCTTACTTACGCTTTCAGGGGGTTGTGAATGACAGTCGCCATTTTGCTACAATGTAACAGAATATTGTCTGTCTCAGAGTTCTAAAGGTTCGCTCAGGGGAAGCGGCGAGCCAATCCTAGCACGGGATACCGGCCCGCTGGCCAATCACCGTGGCTGGTCGCCTAGTGGGCGGGGCCTGCACGGTGGTAGTTATTAGGGGAGCTGTCAAAGCCCAGAGGTCACTCCCTTTTGTAGAGCCCGAGAGCTAGCAGGTCTTAAAGGGGCAGTAGCGCGCGAGCCTCTCTCTCTTTTTCTTTTTTTTTTTTGGATTGGGGAAAGCGGAGACACACGAGAGTATTCTAGTTGGACCCCCTCCTCTGTACAACTGTGTTACAGAGTTTGCGCTCCGGACAGAAATATTTAAGTATCGCCAACAAATCATCGAACCTCCCATTCATTAGCTTTGGGCTTTGCTGTTGCATTTCTAATCCCCCAAAAGAAGAAATCTTTGTAGGCTTGCAAAAGTTGGGAGGTGGCGTTTCGACCAACAAATTACTACACGTGCCCTGCCGTTTGCTAATGCTCGGGGTCCTGCGGCTCTTTAATATTCTTATTCCCGAAGTGTTGGCTTTATCTCTGCCACCTTCCTCTCTTCGGTTATTTGGAACTGCTGCTGCCTGCCGCTCCAGGCGACTCCAGGACAGCAACTCCCCTCCCCCTGGAATGTCTCAATGTCAGGCTCGCTCCCTCCTGCAGCCTGGGCTTTCGTTACGTAATGCGAGGTGGTCACTCGCCGCGGTTTCCCACTGCCACCCTCCCCCGTACCCACCCCCACGCACGCCGGAAACTTCGGAAACGATCCGAATTCGGCGAGCTGGGAAACGCAGTCCGGATCCCTTGCGCTGACCTTTAGGCTCTAGGTGTCGCAGAGGCGTCAGGAAACTTTGAGAAATGCTTTTAGCTGCTAGGAAGAAAGAGTAACTAGACAAGTTGTAGAACCTGCATTGTGCAGTCTCTTTCGGGCTGTAGCACACGCGATGCTGGCGTCACCTTTCACCCCTTAGGCAGGTGAAAAGAATTTACTAATGAATAATCCAAGCTGACCCGAGACACTCCGAGTCTGCGTCTGCTTCTGGTCAGTGTGAACTCCTCACTGGCAAACCCCTGACAAAGTTGGGAAACTTCTGCGCGGCCAGGCTGGCCCGAGAGCAGCCACAGCCGGGAAACTCGGGTGGACAACAGCGCATTAAATCGTGAATAGGGGCCTCGTTCGCGTGCAGGAATCTGGCTACCAACCCAAAACTGTTTAATCAGGTCAAATAGCTAAGATAGTGGGGGAGGAATGGGGGAGGGGAGTGAGGACGATGCCAACTGTGGATCTTCAGAGCTATGCCCTCTCCAGCTGCTCTTCTCAAAGGAAATAAAGGACAATTTTAACTGATTTTTTTTGCTTTTGCTTTTGCTTTTTGGGTCACACTGGACGATGCACAGGGGTTACTACTGGCGGTGCTGGTGGGGGGAATCATATGGGATGTTGGGAATTGAACCAGGGTCTGCGGGGTGCAAGGCAAACGCCCTACATGTTGTGTTATTGCTCCAGCCCCTTTAACTGCTCTTTTGTAAAATTTTTTCAGCGTTCCAGAATGTCCAGGGTTCAACTCCATACACTCTTGGACTGACAGACAAACAGGACAGGGCTGAATCCAGGTGATTGTCACCCAAGCAATCATAAACCACCCCCAACCCCTCATACCCTCACCCTGCCCCTTCCTGCCTAGTCTGCAGCAGCTAGCCAAGTTCTGTAGATTACCTCCTAATTTCTTGATGCAGCATCTTGCAGTTTGACAGTTATCGCCTTTTCCAAAATTCAAGTTGATAAAATGCCTGAGCGATAGATTGTACAGAAGGAAGGGCATTTCCCTTGCACAATGCAGACCAGGGTTCGATCCCTGGCATCTCACATGGTCCCCTGATCCCCCAGAAGTAATCCTTGAGTGCAGAGCCAGGAGTAATTAATACCCCTGAACACTGCTAGGTGTGAGAAGGGGGCGGAGGGGAGGGGGGAAGTTTTAATTAATTTTCTAGGGATTAATTTAAAAGTAGTGCTTTGGGTGGGCCTTGACCTACATCGAAAAGCAAGTGCTGAGTGGGAAGGTGGCAGAGCGGCATGCACCTGACCTGGGTTTGAGTCCCCACATGATCTCCCCAACATTACTGGGTTATAGCTCAAGATCCCCAAGCCCCACTGGAGTGGCCCAAGAAGTACCAGGTCCTCAGATCCTTGTACTTTCCAGTCAGCCAGAGAATCAACTGGTGGTCCCCACGGGAATCCTGAGCACCACTTGGGAGTCCCCCCCCCCACAAATAAAATAAATTCAAAAGGCAGGTAATGTGTTCTGTGACAAACAATATGATAAGTTTGAGGTATCAGTCAGAGCTCCTATCAGCTTCTTCGAGATATCAGTTAGCAAAGATAATCACATCAGAAGAAAACACCATATATTACTAGATGCAGCTTAATAAAGAAAATATAAAATAAAAAGGCTCCTCTGAGGGGCTGGCGTGATAGCCCCTACAGTGGGTAGGGGCGTTTGCCTTGCATGCGGCCGACCCGGGTTCAATTCCCGGCATCCCATTTGGTCCCCTGAGCACCTCCAGGAGTAATTCTTGAGTGCAAAGCCAGGAGTAACCCCTGAGCATTGCAGGGTGTGACCCCAAAAAAGCAAAAAAAAAAAGGCTGCTTTGAACAAGGCTTACAGTTTCGTGGAAGAAGAAAGGGAAAATAGATATGTATTGTGTATATAAGAAAAATCATAGAGCCCGCGAGATGACTCAAAGAACTGGAGCTCATGCTCTGCCTGTGGGTCCCCCAAGGTTCCATCCTCAGCACCTGTGGTTCCCCAAGCACCCCCAGAGAGTTTCCTAAGCATTATACGAGGAGAAACCACCAAGTACCACCAGATGTGCCAAACCAAAAAAAATAAACAAATAGGGCAGGAAAGATAGTATAAGGGTTAAGGTGCTTTATTTGCATGCAGTCAATTCTAGTTTGATCCCTGGCACCACATATGGTCCCCCAAGTCCCACCAGGAGTGAACCCGGAGTAAGCACCAAGCACAACTAGGTGAGACCAAAACAAAACCAAATTTTTAAAAATAGAGTCTGGAGTTATAGTATAGCAGGTAGGGTGTTTGCCTTACATGCAGCTGACCTGTGCACAATCCCCAGTACCCCATATGGTCCGCTGAGCGCAGAGCCAGGAGTAAGCCCTGAGCACTGCCAGCTGTAGCCCCAAAACAAAAAAAAAGCAATAAAAAATAGAGAGAATCTAAGTATATGTGATTATTTTGACTGGAGGCCCAGAAGCAGAAACCAGCATTATTCCTAATTACCACCAACATTGAAACACCAGATTAGGTTTCTAAACTCTTAGATATATGAATCCAGAATGTAAGTATTTAAGTTATATTTTCTAATGATTGGATTGCAAAACTCATAGTAATGTTGAACCAAAGACCAGGTGTTTTTTAAGTGAGATAGACTTTTTTGGGTGGTCTAGCAGAATGTTAATTTAAAACTCTGTCACTCCCCAAGTAGACTTTAAAATGAAAAGAGTTCATCTTTCATCAATTCTAAGACATATAAAAGTTATTATTATTTTAGGGGCTGGAGAGACAGTACAGCAGGTGAAGAACTTGCCTTACACACACCTGACCTGGGTTCCATCTTTAGTATCTGATATGGTCCTCCTGAACACTGCCAGTAGTGACTTCTGAGTGCAGAGCCACCAGGTGTGAACAACAACAAAAACATATATTATTCTAAATTTTGTTTTAATTTCTTAGATCAATATTTTTTTCTTTAATAAGGGGAATTCTATTTGTCAGTTTTTAGATGACCTAACTCATCTGCAGTGAGGTCAACTGTTCTAAATAGTCCTTAAGATGAACCAATCCCAGCCACAAAAAAAAGACATATTTTTTGCCAGAATGCTCAAAGGCAAGGGGGCTTAGAATAGATGTATTTAAAGGAGACAAGAACCTTGAACAGTTTGGGAGAATGTTAAGTTTTACATTAATTTTGCAACAAAGTACTATAAATGGTTCAAAGAGTGGGCTTTGGAATCCACCAGTCTAAGTTCAACCACTTCCCAGCTGGCTATCTTGGACAAGTTTACTTAACAACTTGAATGTCTCAGTTTATTCATCTGGAAAATGGCAATAATGAGAATCCTATTTCACAAGTCTTTTTTTTTTCTTTTTTTTTTTTTGTTTGTTTGGGAGCTGGAGCGATAGGGCCTTTGCCTTGCACGCTGCCAATCCGGTAGACCTCTCGGAGAGCCTGGCAAGCTACGGAGAGTATCTCTCATCTGCAAGGCAAAGCCTGGCAAGCTACCCATGAAGTATTCGATATGCCAAAAACAGTAACAACAAGTCTCACAATGGTACTGGGCCCACTCGAGCAAATCGGGAGAACAGTGACAGTGACAGTGACAGTGACAGTTTGGGGGCCACACCTGGTGGTGCTCGGCAATTACTCCTGGCTCTGCACTCAGGACTCACTCCTGGTGGGCCAAGGGGACCATCTGGGATGGCAGGGACAGAACTGGTTGGTCATGTGCAAGGTAAGAACCCTATTCGGTGTACTATCACTCCAGCCCAACAAGGCTTTTTCTAGAATTAAATGAGGTCACATGTCAAGTTTATGACAGAAAACAAGTTTTTAGTACATGTTTACCATTATTTTTATATAGACATTTAATTATTTTCTGACACAAGAATAAGGTTTCTAATAAGGAATGTAGGGGATCTGAATAAAAGGTCATAACAAGAAATGAAATCATCTGTTAAATTCAGATTTCAGGGCTGAAGAGATGGCTCTGAGTGGGGCACATTCAGGAAGGCTGCATTTGATCCTCAGACCACATAGTTCCTGGAGCACCAAGCCTGGAGTACTACTGAGTGCCAACAGTGTAGCCCCCCCCCCCAAAAAAGACAATGTCTTCATTTTTAAATCTCATGAATACAAAAATAAATGAAAGATAAAAAAAATAATTTTTTATGAGAACAAAATAATCCCTCGGACTCTGGGCTTGAAGG